AGCTTTAAAATTGTATTTATAAAATGGAGGATTTTATAAATAAGTAAATGAAATGCCAGTATGTGGTTATGTATTAAATCTTGGTATGTTTTATGATGAAGGACATTTAAATAATCATAGTCAAATAAAAGTGGAAGGTATGATGATGTAATATAATAAATATCCAAGTTAAGATATTAGAGTTAATATGAATTATATTTGATGATGGTGGAAGAGATGCACAAAAGCCTTTTGTAACCAATTGACACACTTTCTACAGTATGTAAAGAAGGAGGATTGGTATGTTTGTTTTGAAAATAAAATATATATATTTTAAAAAAATTGTATTGTCATTGTTAATGCAGTTTAACTGTCTATAAAAGTCTATAGTTGCCAGGTTGGTTTATCTCCCATGGATGGAATAGGCAATAGCTCCAATCCCATACCTTGACTCTATACAAGTAAGAGGTAGCTATAGATTTTTTGTTTTGACTTTTACCTGATTGCCAGAAAGGTAACAGGATGGCAGAGTCCTATGTGTAGAATTAGAAGAGTTGATGCCAGGTGAGGCACTTCCTAGAACAGTGATGGCCAACCTTTTTCCCCTTGGGTGCCAAAAGCGTGTGTACCTACCCATACTTGTAATTAAATGCCCCCCTATATTGTGTCCACCTGCGCATGTGTGCACAACCACCACCATCCGCTTCCCCCTGCAACGCGCACATTGCTTTCTTTGAGCTGTGGAGAGCGAAAACACCCTATCCACGCCTGCCTGAAGGCCGAAAATCAGTTGGCGCCCGCTGGAACTGACATAGAGCAACACCTCGCATGTCCTCAGATATGCTTCGCATGCCACCTATGGCACGCATGTCGTAGATTCACCATGACAGCCCTAGAAGATGATTGGTGACATGGGAATAACAAAGCACTTTTCCCAAGTATCAGAAATGATCAGAGTGTGTAGACTCAGAGTACATCTAGGAGGGGAGGCTTTAGACTCCATCTTACCAACACAGTGGAGTTGCCATGGTAATGGCTTCACAGTACCCCACAAGGGGGCTCCCTCTGGTAAGGGGGAAAATCCAACATTAGAAAGTACAGATATTTCCCCCTTATAAATAAATACCCGGACCACACCAGGTTATCAACTAGTCCTTTATAAAATTTACTTAAACGTGATGACTCAATCCGTTGAGTCCAATCGATATTTTGCATTTTTTTATCTCTCCTGAATGTTTGTTTTAATGAATATTTTCTCTAAAATAAAAACAATGGAAAGGCAGGTGTATCTCATGCATTTAGCACATGTGGATTGAATCTCACAGATGATGATGATAATGATGGATGATGCAGGTAAGTGTGAAGGACAAGAATGGGGGAAAAAATAGAATATGTATGTGCTGTTAGTTCCTTTTTCCTTAGTTACCCAAATCCAAAAGAACATCTGTTCAAAATGAATTTGCTAATAGAGAAATATTTGCTTCTGTATCTCAGTATGTTTTACATGCTAATCTTTTTCTTTTTAGAGGACTACTTTTGCCAAAGATAGATGAAGAGCGTGCCTTAAAAAGAACAGATGTTGGGTATTTGGGTAGTGGCATTTATTTCAGCAACTCTGCAAGGTAACATCTGAAGTCTCCCCCCCTCCCCCCCCAGAACAGCAGTTTTGTTTGTATCTGTCTCTTTTTAAAATATTGTTGACTAAATATAATGAATGTGTACATTTTCCTGCATAAATACTTAGGGGGAACAGAGTGGTGTAATGAACAGAGAATTGGCATTGGACTAATTTCAAATTTTCAAATTTCAAATTATCAAATTTAATAAGATTTGTATGCTGCCCATTCCCTAGGGACTCTGGGCGGCTTACAACAATATAAAAACATTTAAAATATTACAAAAAATACAGAATTAAAATCAACGCAACATCCATTCCATCAAGTGGGGCTGGAAATTAATGACCAGCCCCAGGCCTGCTGGAACAGCCAGGTCTTGGTTGCTTTACGGAAGGCCGGGAGAGTGGTGAGGGTCCGGATCTCTGCAGGCAGTTCATTCCACAAGGCCAGTGAAGCTACAGAGAAGGCCCTCCCACG